ATTGCATTTATCTCTCACCACCTTTTTAAAAAACATAAGTTATGTTTTTAATCCATCTTTCTCTGTTAAAAATGACAGTTATGTATATATATGTAGATAGCAGCACAGAAACTACAAATTAATAAAAGATGTCAACAACAGGAGACTTATCCATCCAGCTTTACATGCTGGAGTCGAAGTCTGAGCCAGAGGAGAATGAAGACAATGAAATTGGTTAGTTGGGAAGTCCAGACCCTTTTTCCCAGTTCTGTTGTAAATAATTTGATGTAAAATAAATCTTAAAGGGGCAATATCATGTAAAATCTACTTTTTTGAGTTTTATATCATGTTATAATGTTAAACTCTCATAAAAAACATGCCCAAAGCCTTGCTTTGACTCATTCATGCATGTTTGAGAAATCCTGCAGTGTTTTTAGGAAGCCATGCTGAGGAGCAAAACAACAGGTGGGGACCAGAAACGTCTTTTGGGACCAGAAATGCCCCTGGGACGTGTCTTTAAGCTGAACTTCCTCATGGCAGAGCACCCCCCCTCCTCCCCACACACCCCGCCCATGACTCCTGCAGGCTCTCGGCAGTAACAAAGCAAACTGAAAGTGAAACTTATTGTCTGCTGCTCTTAACACCACTTCTCACTCAATGAAACTCTTTTCAGTTTCAAAATACCTTTGAGGAAATGTATTTTCAGAAGCCAAGCAAACTGCATCATAGCGCACGCGTGGGCGACCCCAACGTCTGGATTCCTCAAAAGAGCTTTAAAAGTTTTTTTTTAAATCATGGAAAACCGAGCTTTTTGTGTCTTTTTTAGTTTTTAAATGAATGTCCTGTCATTGTGTGGAAACTCAACCCGGCCTGCTGTGCAGCGTGCAGAATGTCGATGTTGGATTAAGGAACACAAGCTTCCCGGTAGAAACCTCCTCTGATCTATTGGCCTTGATGTTTCTGTATACGTGCCCACGCCTCCAGGAACTGCCTTTGAAGACTTCGTTTACACCACAAAGCAGCTGCATTACCTGACTTTAAATTAGGTTTTTAACAACGTTCGCTCTTGGCACTGAAACCGTTCTCACAGCAGGAGCTTGTCTTCAGGCTCCTGTTAACTTTTCAGCTTTGTTGGTGATGAATGATTCATTATGTGTTGGCTCAGCAGACAATGTGAGATGTAACTACTAGGGGTGTCCCGATCCGATATTGATATCGGATATCGGTCCGATATCAGCCAAAAAACAAGTATCAGATTTCATCAGCCTGCATAAAAAATGTCCGATATAAGCGCTCCGATATTAGCAGTCCGTTCCAGCATCACTGACTCCACTCCAGTGTTTCTATCCAGCAGCGCTTGGATCCAGCATGCAGCGCTCACGTGATCACAACAACATGCTGCGCTAACAAGTTAGCAAGAATGTCGGCAGAACTTTCTATTTTCATCAGAAACAGAGTTGAACTAAGTGTAAAGTTGTCATGCACAAGTTTTCCGAGGGGAAACACAGAACCGTGAACGTTTTAAACCGGAGCGACAACTACTCTCCACCCTGGCAGCAGCTTTGCGGTTCGGCTCGGTTCAGCCTCGGTCCAAAAGTGTCTCCATGATTCCAACCGAGCAGAACCTCCTCTCACTCCGGTGGTTCTAGCGGGCAGAAGCGAGGACAGCACGCTTTTTACGGTTTTGACATCAGCAGAATGTTGCCCGTGGATTATCTCTTGATGGACAGAAGAAAGGAAGAGCACAGATTTTGTTTTGGAATACGAGCGACATGACGAGAGCAGTGATAAAAACTGCTCCCTGCAGGAGAGAGAGGCTAATCTCCACATGATGCTCAGACTGTAGAAGGTATTAATAATTAACTGACTGATTCTTACTATTTGTTTTTGCTCTTGTTTGTAGAGTGATGTTTAATCTATTTACACACTTGTTTTAGTGAAGATTAAGTGCAATGAATTCATTCATCCCTAAGAAATGTGAAATGCTGCTAAGTTGCATATAGGAATGCGCGATATAAACTATATACGGTAGAAACAATATAAATTAGTTCTATGATAGAGATCTGTAGTCTACCGGCCAGCTGCGCAATTCTTTTTGATGACTTAACTGGTTGGAGTCAAAACAGAGGAAGCGGGAAGCAGCGAGGCTAAGAGCGCAAATGTGGAGGGGAAAAAACTTATCTGGACCTGGTTCGGGTGTGTGAAAATGAGCGCCGAACTGTTTACATATTTAGGTGACGGCACGTCCTCTGGTCGGATGCCCACCGACCACACTGCCTGCTGCGGGAGGAGCGCGCTCCGCGGCATGTGTGAAGGGCTCGACACACGGGAGGAGACATCGCTCGCTCTCCATTCATTTCCACGCAGCGAAGCGACTGTCAGTGCAGGTGAAGTCAGTGCTCAGGTGGGACGCACAAAAATCAGTCTGGACCTCGTTTTTCCTGCGGTCATAGCGCGACGACGCACGGCCGAATGCGCGCGCACTCCAAAGCGCGACTATAATGATTGTCACCCCGCCAGAGCGTGCACAGATTAAACAGGTGGAGTGCAGAAAAATAATCTGCAAAGTGTGTAGAAAGGAATAAATACAAACAATTTGTTTTACCACCTTAAAACGAAGCTGGTGAATCCAAACACAACATCCAATGGATGCAGATATCTATTACATTAAAGTTATTGTGTGTGTGATATATCCTTTTTTTTTTAACTTTTTAAACTTTTTTATTGTTCTTATACCGTTCTTATATCTATCTATCAATGATCACGTTGTTTTGAGCACAGTCAGTAAAATTGTAGCTGTGGACTCTTAACTTTGAACAGACAATGTGGGGTTTTGTTTTGTCCCCACCTTCAGTTTTTTCCACCATAAAGCAGCACAAGGCTGACAGATGGTTAAAAAAAACTGGAGTGATTTTGAATTATTTTACACTTTAAAAGTACATTTTGTTTTTATTATGTTATTTTTTCAGGGTATTGTAATTTATTTTATTTATTAAATTGTAGAATGTTCTTCAATTTAAAATGTAGGCCTATGTGATCCATTGGTTAAAAATAAATGGGTCAGTTTTTCTCATATCTACTCTTTTTCACTGTTTGACTTGATCAAGACTTTTCTAAGATTTTACACTACAAAACAGGTAAAAGTGTGTGACTTGTACTGTTTTGGTAACGGGTCAATATCAGTATCGGTCAATATCGGTATCGGACAATTCTCAAAGTTGCAATATCAGTATCGTATCGCAAGTGAAAAAGTTGTATCGGGACATCCCTTGTAACTACATCACATTTAATGTTTAAGCAAAGTAGTTCTGATTCACAACAACTACATTTTTATTTGAGTTGGTAGTTTGACTTGTTATAGGACCCTCTCTCTATTGAAAATACAAATTATTTTCCTTCGAAATTACCAGTTTAGTGGTTCTTTGTAGTTTCTTTTAGCAGAACTGGAATCAGATTAGTCTGTCAATAATAACTAGGTTATTTTGTAGAAATGTATAATTTATTTATTTATTTATTTTGTGAAACTACATCTTCTGTATTGACAGGTGGACTAATGTTTCCTAAATGATAGCTGTGTCATTTTTCTGCAGTTTCACTTAAAATTGATTAAAACTTTACAAAAATCAGGAATTTTGGTAGATTTTTTTGTTATTACAAAGTTCATTGGCAAGAAGTCTTATATTGTTGGAAAGCCTGTTTACTTTCCCTTAAATTGTGCCACATTTGTTAAGAAAATAATTGGTGAGCAGAATAAACCATTTTCTCTGCAAATGCCAAACTGCTTCTTTTGCTTCAGAGTCTTGTTTGGTGTTTGTTTGGGTGATTCATTGTTTTGTTCTACCAGCATTTGTTGCAAGTCTGACAATGTGGTTGCGTTATTCAACCTGGAACAAATAAAAGGTCCAAGCACCAGGCGTTTCATGTGGTTGAGGTCAGGACTTCAGGCCGGTCATTCCTTCCTCTCTGACCCCAAATTCTGGATGTAGTCCCTGAAAAACCCTGTTCTGTTGGGGCAAGAGTTGTTTTCTTGTAGGATAGAGTTTGGTCCAAGACTGAAGATATGAGATTGCCTGGTTGCTCACAGCACCTGGGGTAACAGAAGCTCAAAACAAATGTCAGTAGCAGAATAATTAGTTGGTCACAAAAATGATAATATTAAGAATGTATTTCAAAAACATAACTAACAGTAGCTGCGTTTCCATTGACCATGAAAATACGCAAATTAGAATTTCGAAAATAAATTTGCTCAATGGAAACACGTCAATTTTGGGGGAAAAAACATGTTTTTCGACAAAATGTTTTTGCGCTAGGATGAGGTGGTATTTCAGCCGTATCGAAATTGGTGTTTTTCGCAAAACTGCAATGGAAACACTTTTTTCGCATCACGGGAGTCACGTGATCAACAACCGGCTGTTTCTACTGGCGAAAAAGACGACGACGAAGAAGATAACAGGAAGTACAAGTAGTAGTAATATCATAGAAGTAGTAAAATAAAGTAGTAAACTCACTGACTACAATTTTCCAAAAACACAGCATACGTAGCTACTCCCAAGTAGGGGCTTGTCACTGGAAAGCCTCGATAAAAGACGCCGACATCTCCTCTGATGATGAGCGCTAGTGTCGTGGTAGCAACATGCTATGTGTTTACATCCATTGCCGCCGTGTTTATAATGACTTATCGCGAGAACAAACGTATTCACGTGTGACTTTAAAAGCGTTTCTTACTTAATGGAAACACCACAGTTGCGAAACTGTGTTTTTCGACATTAACAGAATATCGACAAAGTTTTGCGCACATTTGCAATGGAAACGCAGCCACTGAATGATTATTCTTTAGCTTGTTAAATCGTATTTGTCATTTTTATATTCATTTGTTTTATTTGTGTGTATGTGAATTTTTTTCTCACATAATTTTAATGAGGGATCCAGCACAGTATTTTGCTGCATTAAAATACAAAAAAAGTATTTTTAATTTTTATATTTTCTAAACTAGACCCTTTCTGGTCCTGTCTGTCATTCAGTCTCCAGACAAGCAGAGGGCGCTGGAGGAGACCAAGAACTACACTACCCAGTCTCTGGCCAGCGTGGCTTACCTGATCAACACGCTGGCTAACAATGTGCTGCAGATGCTCGACATCCAGGCTTCGCAGCTCCGCCGCATGGAGTCCTCCATCAACCACATCTCACAGGTGGGTGGGAGTACTTTGGGGGGGACTATCACTGAAGACATCTCCACCCCTTTAAAACCATTGTGCAACCGCTGTTGACGAACGGTCAGGCACTACAATCACACGGCAAGTCATAGGTTGTTTTAAATTTTTCATTTACCTTTTTTATAGTAACTAATACACATGCTTAAAATCTGGCACCACTTACCCAAATAGGTTCATTGCTATTCTGCTTTTTTTACTAACTTATATACACAAACATATTTATAAATTAGTTTTATTTGTATTTTGCATTATGATGGCAGAATGTCCTCAAAGGGCAGTGTTGCTAGTTGTCAGAATGAATGAAGAGCAAAGCTGAAACATAGACCAAGTGTATGTCAACAAACCAGAAGTAGGCATGAAACTGTTTAGACCACATGGACTTTGAGCTTGTGCAGAAGCAACTGTTAAAAGGTCAGTTTGGGCTTTTTGAAGCAGTTTTGATAATCTGATAATTTAATTAAAAATCAGTAAGGAATGGGATTAAAGGAAGACAAAAGCAATTTCAAAACATTTTCAATGTTCTAATTCAAGATGAACTATGTTTAAAATGTCTGCACTGTAATCATTTTGTCTTTGTTTTACTAAAATAGGAATTTAAATCTACTTTATTCTTATTTTCTGTTGAGGAATACACAACAGATGTTTAATGTTTGTAAAAATTTTGTTAAAATTCCCATTCAGTGCTAGTGGGAGTTCATTAAAGTGTATCTTACCCCCCTGTGAAAAGATAACTCTGCCCCAAGGTGAAATTTGAAAAATGCATCAGAGTGGGTAGGGGAGGGGGTGTGGGTAGGCGATGGGGGTTAGAGAGCGGAGGTGTGGCCAGGACGAGAGAACGCGACAGGCAGTTAGCATTAGCATAATTGATGCTACATGGAGAGTGACCACAGTATCGCAGATAGTTAT